CTGAGAGGTCTGGAATTGGGGTATCCCATCACTGGAAGGGCTGGGATTGGGGTATCCTGTCCCTGAGGGGGTCTGGATTGGGCTATCCTATTCCTGAGGGGTCTGGGGTTGGGGTATCTCATCCCTGAGGGATCTGGGGTTGGAGTATCCCATCCCTGAGGCATCTGGGGTTGGAGTATCCTTATCACTGGGAGGGTCTGGGATTGGGGTATCCCATCACTGGGGAGTTGGGGACTGAGGCATTCCCATCCCCAGGTGGTCCTGGACTGGGACAATGCAGGGTCCTGAGGGGGTCTGGGGCATCCCCAATCCTGGAGGGTCCTGGGATAGAGCATCCCTGTCCTCAAGACCCAGTGGGGCTGGAGCACCTCCGTTCCCAAGGTCCTGAGGGATCTGGAGTTAGGATATCCTCATCACGGGGAGGTCTGGGAGTGGGGCTTCTCCATCCCCAGGTGGTCCTGGACTGAGACATCCCCATCCTTGGGTGGTCCTGGGATGGAGCATCCCTGTCCCCAAGGTCCTGAGGGATTGGGGACCAGGGTACCCCAGTTGATGGGGACTCAGGGGCTGTGACATCCCCAAGCCCAAGGTCCTGAGGAGGTCCTGGGCTGGGGCTGATAATGTGATATTCTATAGGCTTTGTGCTGGGATTTGTAGGATTGAAGCCATGGATTTGATGGGAAGAGCCAGAATAATATATACCATATGGTGTGGCCTTACACTGGGATTTGTGGGACTGAAGATCCTGGATTGATGGGAAGAGGCAGCATGTCCTGGTGACAGGACCAAATGGATGTGGCTGTGGCTCTGTTCCAGAGCCTTTCCTGTTAGCCTGACAGGGAGAACTTCAGCTCCAAATGAGGAATCACACACAATGGGCAGCAAACCTGCCTAAATCCATGGAAGCAGAAGGAAACAAAACTCTGAGGCCAAAGCATCTTGTAGAAGATAAAAGACCTGTCCAAAACTAGTCTGTCCCAATGGAAGAACAACCTAGGGATCATAGCAAGGACCCTTTGTGCTGTCCATAAGTGATCCTGATTGGATCACTTGGGATATAAGGACCTTAAAGTTCCAACCCTGTGGGCTGCTCCAAGCCTCATCCAACCTGGCCTGGAACATTGATGGAGCAGCCATAGGTGTTCTGAATTTAAAGTACTTTAAGTACAGTCTTCCAGTTTGGATTTGAACCCCCATGAAAGGAAGAGGTTTCCTAGTTGTCCGTGCAAATAGTTTTCCCCAGGAAATATAAAGATACCAACTATTCCTGTAGTTCTAGGAAGTAAATCTCTTTAAATGAAGTATTTAACCAGAGTGAAGCCTCAGAGTATTAGCCCACCAGTGCTTTATTGCAGCAGAGGAATCTGGGATGTAATTCCAGCAGTTCACCTGGCAGAGATTCCCTGTTGCAGCCTGGCAGGATGTGATCCTTGGTGTTCTTTCACTGCTGCCAGCCCCAAAGGCTTCAGCTGGACAAGGTGCTCTGCATTGCTCCATTTCAGGTTACCTCATGTGCTTGGCAACCTCTAATCCATCCAATTCCAGGAATCCTTGTCCAAGGAATGAGCTGAAAGCTTAAACAGTGTTAGAGAGTGAGTGCCAAGTGAAAACTCACATCCATCACACCAAGGACCACTTTCCCTTCCTCTGTCTGCCGGTCTATATGCCTCAAGGAACTACAGGTAGAACAGCACTTAATCCTTCATTTTTCCAAGCAGAATTCCCTGCTGGAATCCCTTGGAGGTTCTGCCGTAGGTAGGATGAGCTTATGCTTGACCTGTCCTTAATAAACTGTGTATTTAGTGTTTGAAGAAAAACTGATTTAACACTGTGAATCCCTAAGCTTTTCCCACTTTTCCAACATTTAAAACACTTTGAGACTTGAGTTGGTGATAAGAAATACGGAGGATGTGCAAAGTGGTTTTTTTCCCAATGAATTTTGGTTGGGAAAAAAAACCCAAATGGATGTTTATCCTTGAGAGTTTTTTTGGATCAGTTTCTTTCCTGAAGGTCAGAAGATGAGTTTTTCTTCTGACTTAAAACCAATTGCTTTTAATTTAGGTGACCTGTGTGAGATGACACTGAATGTGTCAGACACTGATATTCCATGGAAACCTTATCCTGATTCCCTGAGTGTCCAGGGAGGTTTGTTTTACTGGGAAAACCTTCCCTGCTGCACTGAATTTGGAGCTTTCAAATGCCAACACATCCCCCTTGGTTGCTTTTCCTTTGTTTTTTTTGCTGCTTTAAAATGAGCTTGAAAGGGAAAGGAAAAAACAGGGATTAATTTCTATGGAGAAAGCCAAGTGCTGCAAGGAAAGTTGGGATTCTTGAGGATCACATCATCTTCAGACCTGTTGTGTATTCACATTGTTGGGAGGTAGGACACAAATGCCTTGTGGATTAGTTGCTATGTCACATGGAGAAATTTGGGAACAGGAATTCCCACTGCCTTTTTGTTTCATCTCCTGGTCTAATAACATCTCTTGCAGGAGAGATGTTCCATGAGGAATACCTTGGGCAAAGTCATTCCAGGCCATCCAGCAGCTCCCTGTGCAGTCACTGAGTGAATCACTGGTTGAAAGGGGAATTGAGGAGGGTGTTAACAGCTCCCTGCAGCTTCTGGCTCCTAGCTCAGGCCTAAATTGGCAGTTTCCTTAATTATGTCCCTGTTGGGAGGCTTCAACTTGGAATCACTGAGGTTGGAAAAGATCTCCAAGACCATCAAATCCACCCTGTGATCCATCACCACCTTGGCATCACTGAGTGAATCACTGGTTGAAAGGGGAATTGAGGAGGGTGTTAACAGCTCCCTGCAGCTTCTGGCTCCTAGCTCAGGCCTAAATTGGCAGTTTCCTTAATTATGTCCCTGTTGGGAGGCTTCAACTTGGAATCACTGAGGTTGGAAAAGATCTCCAAGACCATCAAATCCACCCTGTGATCCATCACCACCTTGGCATCTAGAGCAGAGCACTGAGTGTCCAGTCCTTTCCTTCCCTGGACACCTCCAGGGATGGCTGGTGATTCCACCACCTCCCTGGGCATCACATTCCAATGCCTGACAGCCCTTTCCATGAAGAGATTCCTCCTGATGCCCAGGCTGAACCCCTGGCACAGCCTGAGGTGTTTCCTCCTCTCCTGTCCCTAAACCTCATTCTGTTGGTTGATCTTACTCCCTGAAGGTTTTCTTGTTCCCATTTCTGCCTCTGTCACGAGGATGTTTAGCACATCTCAAGGTGTTTCCACCTTCCTGCACCATCTAAAGCTTTCACTTGTGGACTAGTCTCCTTGCTGGAGCAAAACCAGCTGGAAAATTTGCCTGAGAAATTTCAGTAGGAGCTGTGAATCACCTGCTGAGACATAATGAGATGGAAATCAGCTCTTGATTGGAGATGATTTGGTGGAGCTTTGTCTAAGCTGAATTAACTCCTAGACTCAGCTGTCTCAATGCCTCTTCTTTCCAAAGATATAACCAGAGGAATCTTCTAAGACTTTGAAAGTGAATCAAGGTCATTTCAGTTCTAAGGAGAAGAGTTTTGGGGACAATTTAACTCAATTCATTGATAGGTCGTGAGTGTTGGAGAGGCTTAAGATGTCTTAGAGTCTTCAGCCACACTAAGAGTTTAGGTTGGACAATAGGGAGAATTTTTTCCCAGAAAGGGTGATTAAACACTGGAATGTGCTGCCCAGGGAGGTGGTGGAGTCACCATCCCTGGCGGGGTTTAAGGACAGACTGGACATGGCACTTACTGCCATGGTCTAGGGACACCTCCCACCAGAGCAGGTTGCTCAAGGCTTTATCCAAGCTGGCTTTGGTTGCCCCAGGGTTGGGGCATCCCGCAGCCTCCCTGGGCTTCCTTAGGCCTCAACACCACCTCAGTAACTATATTCTTGCCCCTGAGCCACAACCTCAGCTCTCCTGACCTTCCACTGAAGCTGTTTGCCTTGTCCCCTTGCTGCAGGCCACAGGTGTCCCCCAGCAAGAAGTGGCCATCGCTGCGTGGCAGATAGTGCCAACCTTTATGTGTTTGGAGGCTACAATCCTGACTATGATGAGTCTGGTGGGTCTGAGAATGAAGACTACCCTCTCTTCAGGGAGCTCTGGAGGTACAACTTTGCCACAGACACCTGGCACCAGATGGGCACTGAAGGCTACATGCCCAGGGAACTCGCCTCCATGTCACGTACGTATGGAAATCTCAGTCCTGGATGTCTTCTCCTCGAGCTGTTTTGATCATTGTCCCTTGTGGGAACACAAAACCAGGCCAGAACTGGGGAATCTGGATGGTTTCCAACTCTAGGCCTTTGAGTTTGGGTTGGGATTTTTCTGTCCCTGTCCTTAGTTGAGGCAGAGAGAAATGGAAGAGCAAGAAGTCTTCATGTTGGTGGTTCCTTCAGGGTGATAGTTGCTCTCAGCAGGGCGGGTGAGGGAGGTGCTCAGTGCCATCAGACAGCTCAGAGCCTCCAAAAATAGAGCTTTTTTTTGTTCATTAACCATTTTTCAAAGTAGACCTTTGGTTACCATGGTTTTACCTTGGATTCTGTCTCTTCAGGAGCATTTCAGAGCATAGTGTGAAGTGGTTGGGGTTTGAACAACACTGAGCACTCTCTGCCAGAGCAGAGTCATGGAATCCCTTGGGTTTGGATTGGAAGGACCTTAAGGTCCATCCAGTTCCACCCTCTGCCCTGGACAGGGACACCTTCCACTAGCCCAGGTTGCTCCAAGCCTCATCCAACCTGCCCTTGACCAATCCAGAACATTCCAAACCACTTCTGTTTTACTGCACCTCACAGCAACAAGTGTCTCTGCTCTGTCTCTCTCTCCTAGTTGTGTTACATGGCAACAACCTGCTGGTTTTTGGAGGCACAGGGATCCCCTTTGGGGAGAGCAATGGCAATGATGTCCACGTCTGCAATGTCAAGTACAAGAGATGGGCCCTGCTCAGCTGCCGAGGGAAGAAACCCAACAGGATCTATGGGCAGGTGAGGACAGGCCTGTTGTCCACAGATCTTGGTGCAGAGCACCAAAATCTCTTCTCTGATGGTGACCAGAGTTGATCTTTCTGTACCTAAGTGCCAGGAAAAGCAGGAACATTTCTAAAGCAATCAAAAAGTGTTGGTTGGTTGAGATTGAAAGGAAACTCACAGTTTTCTTCTAGGTAGAAAAGCTAAAATTGGTTAAGTGAATTCTAAGTCAGTTGGATGAAAAGATCTGATTTAAGGAGTTGATGGTTTTGGTGTTGCTCTGTAACCTCCTCAAAGCCTTCAGAACCCAAAACTCCAACTGCAAACAGCAGTTTGTAGGTCTCATTGTTTGCCCTCCATGTTCCTCCTGAACACATCGTTCTGTAAGCGCCAGGCAGAACTTTACACCATGTCCTGCCCGGGAGCTTGGGAATTCTCCCTTTTTCAGCTCCACATGTCACGTGTCCTTCCTAACTGCTTTCCCTCTGGTCTCTCCCAGGCCATGGCCATCATCAATGGCTGTCTCTACGTGTTTGGAGGAACAACTGGTTACATCTACAGCACTGACCTGCATAAGCTGGACCTGAACACTCGAGAGTGGATCCAGCTGAAGCCAAACAACATGTCCTGTGACATGCCAGAGGAGAGGTGAGAGAAGCTGGACAGCCTCAGGGAGCTGCTCTAGGGAGTCACCATCATTCCTGGGAGTGAGAAGATGTCAAGGCACTCTTGGGGCAGTGAATCCTGCACACCCCAGTGCAGGATGTAGGGATGGGGTGGGAAGAGTTTGCCAGGGCATAGAGTGGTGCCAGGACAGAGCTGGGGACATGGGACATCTGGTGGGTGCTGAGGAGGAGAAGAGGCTGTGGTTGATCCTTGTAGATGTTGAGGAAGGAGGACTGGGAGACGGTTTAAGGAGAGCCTGGATGTGACATTAGTGCCATGGCCTAGTTGTCATGGTGGTGTTTGGTCCTAGGTTGGACCTGATGATCTCAGAAGTCTTTTCCAACCTGGTTGATCCTGGGATTCTGTGAAAGCAGTGCCCATCTTAGAGAAAGGACTGGAATATTGATGTTCTGGTGCTCCATAAATCCTTGCCTTTCACTTCCATGGTGCTGTGCCCTTAGAAAATACCTTCCAAGCTCCTGGGATGCTCCTTAGAAGGGCTCAAGAAAGCTTCCACACCTCCTGAATGCTCCCAGCACCACCAGGCTTGGGATTTCTCCTCAAATCCCTGGAATCTGAGCATTTCCCAGCTCTTTCATTGCTCAGTTGCACTCATTGTGCTGCTGGATGTTCTTTGCACCTCCAGGTACAGACACGAAATCGCCCACGATGGTCAAAGGATTTACATCTTGGGAGGTGGAACTTCCTGGACAGCTTATTCCTTGGATAAGGTGAGGAAAACTGCATAGGAGATTTTCTACAGTGAAGTACAACCAGCACAATCTTTCCCTCTGGCTTTGCCTGGAGAGCCTGAAAAATATAGGGATAACTGGGAGCAAATTGTTCCCCAATTTTCTCTTGCCACAGAACGTCCTGTTGGTTCTGGTGTCAAAACTGCAGTATTTATCATGACTTTCCATCCTTGGATAAGGTGAGGAAAACTGCATAGGAGATTTTCTACAGTGAAGTACAACCAGCACAATCTTTCCCTCTGGCTTTGCCTGGAGAGCCTGAAAAATATAGGGATAACTGGGAGCAAATTGTTCCCCAATTTTCTCTTGCCACAGAACGTCCTGTTGGTTCTGGTGTCAAAACTGCAGTATTTATCATGACTTTCCATCCCTCCTTTCTCCCCTCTTCTCTT